TATGAATTCATTTACATGCAGGAAAGAAGCTTGGCACTTGCAGATAAAAGTGCACAGTGGATAGAGCACTGGCCCTGGAGTCAGGAGGACTTGAGCTCAAATCCAGCATCAGACACATAACATTTATTAGCTTCATGACCCTGGGCAAGTCACTTAACTCCACTGCCTAGCCAAAAGAAAAAAAAAAAAAAAAGAGCCCACTATGTGCCATGCAATAACAATTATATCCATATGTATGTATTGTTTGGTTATTTTCAGTCCTGTCCAACTCTTCATGACCTCATTTGGGGTTTTCTTGACAAAGGTACTAGAATGGTTTGCCCTTTCCTTCTCCAGCTCACTTTACAGTTGAGGAAACTGAGGCAAACTGTGTTAAGTGACCTAGGAAGTATCTGAGGTCAGATTTGCACTCGAGTCTTCCTTACTCCAGTTCTGGCACTCTATCCACTGTACCATCTAGCTGCCCATATGTATGTATAGAGGTTGTATGTATGTATGTATGTGTGTGTATGCATATATTATATGTATATAGATGTATATATATGCATATACAGATATACAGATATGTGTGTTTTTGTGGCCCTTCCACAAGGATCAAACACAGATTCCTTGAATATTCCATTGGAAGGTTCCTTTCCAGTCAACATTGAACCATTAATGACTACTCTTTAATGAGGCCATTCAGCTACTTCCGAATTCATTTAATTATACTGTCCTCTAGTCTGTACTTCTCCAATACTTTCCACAAGAATAGCATTAGAAACTTTGCTTTGCTTTGCTAATATCCAGGTAAGCTATATAGCATTTCCCTGACTTAGTAACCACAGATAAAAAGGAAATTAGATTAACCTCATTCTTTGTGATTACTGCTTCTTCTTTTAACTATTTACTAACCACTCCTTTAGTAACACAATCTAGAATTTTATCAGGAATCAAAATGAGGCTCACGAGCCTGGCCTACAATACAAAGACTATTCTTTTCTCTTTTTTGAAAATTGGGACATTTGCCCTTCTACAGTGTTGTGGTACCTACCTCTCTAGGTCCTCCATGGTTTTTCAAAGATCACTGAGATTGGCCCAGCAATCAAATCTGCCAATTCTTTTAGCACCTTAAACATAAAAGAGAGGATAGGACTTTTAACTGCCATTCCCAAGCACAAGGTGAGGAGAGATTCACACTTGCCTTTAAAACACATCTGAATTGTTGCTGCCCCATACCTACCTCTGCCTATTGAAATTCTATTTGTTGTTGAAGATATTAACTCAAAGATTATGTCTTCATGAAGTCTTTCCTACAGTTGTGAATAAAATTCCCTTTTCATTCTTCCCATAAGACTCTATACTTTACTTGAACATGTTTCATTTTGTATGTTACTTGTGTATGTATCACACACACACACACACACGCATAAACATTCACCAAATTGTAAACTCTTCAAAGGTATGTACTGTGTTATTTACCACTGTATTTCCCAACATTTAGCACCATGCCTCTGAAAACTATAGATGCTACATGAAGGTTTACTTGATCTGAAGGGTTATATTCCCTACAGTAGTTCACGTTTTTTTTCTCTACTCAAATTATCTTGTATTTATTTGTGTATATGTTGTATTCTGATCTCCTCAAGGACAGAGACTTTCATGTTTGTCTTCATAGCCTCAGAATATGCTTAATAAATATTTAAGTGGAACCGTGCTCACTGAAGAAACACTGCACAGAGACTCAATTTTCTGGTCCCCTTATCTCCCAATGTCCAACAAAATTATTAACATTCTAATCTCTTTAAGTCCTACTCGTCAGAAATCTATCATCCTTCTCTCCCATTATCCCCATCTCCATCCCCAACTAGGTTAATTTACCTTCAACTAACAACGTGGAAATACCTTACGGGCTGTTAGACTGTGTCCTCATTCACCCTCAGCCCTGGAGACTCAATGACGGCTTTTGCCCTTTCTATCTGTCCTTGATGACTCCCGAAATTTAGGGACCTCCACTCTGATGCCACTCAAATCTAGAAATAGAAAGTCTTTCTAACTACTTATTTTATTTAGCCTTATTGACTCTTATCAGGGATTACTCAGCTTTTCTTTAGTTTAAAAAAAAAAAAAGAATTTACTATGTGCATTGTGCCGTAGTAGCATTGTGAGAGCTAGAAGAAGCCTCCTCCCCAATGGTTTACAGTCTCATTGAGATAACCTAAGCACAAGAAGCAATTGAATAATAATGTGACAAATGACAAGATAAACAACACAGACTGAAACAGAGTTATGGGTGGTCAAGAAGAGGAGAGAACAATGAGTAATTAGAAAAGGATTCCTTGAATAAGTGTGGCTTGAGTAAAGGCCTGAAGTATGAATAGTATGTATGTAGATGTGAAGAACATCTTAAGATACTCACTATGTGATTCCCCTACTCCACAAGGAGCAGTTTCAATGAAGGTGTGAGGAGGTGGTCATCTTAGGAAGAATGATGTCATGAGGAAAGGTGTATAAATGCACACATTTCACTTATGTGAAAGGCATATGGAGGACATTGTTTTGGTCTGGGGTAGGAGGAAAGGCAAAGTGTTCATGTTAAAGAGTATTTTGAAATAAGTTAGGCAGTTAACAAGTATTGTGTATGTGTGCGTGCGTGCGTGTGTGTGTGTGTGTGTGTGTGTGTGTGTGACACAATCTGGATTAAGTGACTTGCCCAGTGTCACATAGCTAATAAGTGTCCAAGGCTGGCTTTGAACTCAGGTCCTCCTGAGTCCAGGGTCAGTGTTAGTTAGCAAGCATTTTAAAAAGCCTACTATGCACCAGGTTGATATGCTGATTAGGCAGAGTGGGGCCCAATTCTTGAGCATCTTAAATACTAAGATGATTTTAAGACTTATAGATGATGAGCAAAAGAGTGACAAGATGTTTTAGGAAAATTGCTCTGAAATGTACATGATTTATTGGAGTGGTGAGGGACAGGAAGGAGGGAAATCAGGTGGAATGCTGTTGGGAGTAGAAGGATCTAGGTGTGTGGTCACGTGAGCTTGCCTTTAGTAGTTTGGTCATAATAGAAATAGGAACAGGATAGAACAAATTAAAGAGAGATTACTAAGGAAGAATTGAGAAAACTTGTCAGACTGGATAACAGAGGGAGAAATGAAATATGACTCAAAGGACTGAGTGGCAGTGGTTGTATTTTGAGGGGGCTGGGGGTAAGAGATGTATAAACAATAAACTTTTAAGTAGCCAGGGCAAAAGTGACATCACGATTACCACATGATGGATATGAAAACTGAGGTACTAAATTACTTACCTAAGATCACAATGCTGGTCAGTGGTAAAAATGGGCCTGGAGACCAATTTTCCTGATTCTTGGCCCAGTGGTCTTTTCATTTGAACACATTTTTCTAGAACCACCATATTCATTCCAGTAATATTATTGCTATCCCATTGCTTGAGAATTTGGTACAGTAAAGAAGCTAGATGGTACCACCTGAGTACTCTGGAAAAAGTTCTAAGAGAACTTTCCTAGCTAATATCAGAGAAATATTCTAATTTGTTTTCCACTTATATACAAACTCATTTCCTTTTCACTCCTAGCCTCTTTTATGGACCCTAGAAACAGGGTCCCTGAGTAATCAACAACTTATGAGTCCAGAATACCCCAAACCTAGTTTTCATAGGTACCCCCAAAAAGAACCTCAATGCTTACATTCTTTCCCAGAATTTGAATTCTGGCTCCAAACCATTGATATATTGCTGCAAGCTCAGCCCTGTCAGTGACTTCAGTCTATATCCCACTTCTTCCAAGAAGACTTTTCTGGCTGTTCCAGCCCGCATTGATCATTCTTTTATCTGAATTCCTAATGTACCCACAGTCAGTCCCTACATGGTTCTCTAAATCAGCATTTCTGAAACTATGTTCTGTGGAACTCTGGTTCACAATCTCAAGAAAGTTTTTATTTAGCCTTCCTTTTAGAAAAAAAATTAATGTTCAAGAGTTGGAGTTTAGGGAGAAAAGTACCATATTGTATATAATTTTAATCTTACTCTGAATTGTACCTTTTAAATTTTTCATGCAAATGCTAGAATTTAGTGATTAGTTGATATTATTTCAATAGTTTTTTTTTAATAAAAAGCCTAATTGGTTGGTATAAATGCTGATATGTTCTATGTTTTACAACTTCATGCTTAGACAAGCCAGGCCAGCTGGTTCACCTAGCCATTATTCATATGGTAAAAGCTATTCAAACTAAGGCATGGTGTTTAGGAAGAAATAGCCTCTGAAGAACCAGCTCGGTGAACCCAAACATAGAAAGTGATGGCAAAGGTCACACACACGTTTGTTTTGAATGCCTACCTAGATTTTAAGCTCCCAGAGGGCAAGCCTTCTTACCCAACCTGTCTTCCCCAAAGGGCCTACCACAACTTTAGGCACAAAGTACTTGCTGCTTACCTGGTTATAGCAACACTAGGTCTGAAGTTATTTGGGATTGTTCCCTCTAATAACAACCCCTCATTAATAAACACTAATATTAAAATGCAGCAAGGGACCAATACATATGAAAGTATCCCCACTTAACTATGTTTGAGTCCCTTACATCCCTCAGCCCACAACCCCCCAAATCTCCAGAGCCAGTTACAAACCCATTAGTGGGCACTTTATTGCGTTCTTCATGTTCCTTTGGACAGCAAAGCAGTCATTATCTGCCCAAAATTCAGCCATCTATTGTACTTATTGTACAAATTAGAAGACTGAGTCACAGAGTGGCCAGGGCCTTTACCAGAGTTGCACAGTGGTGAGGGTAAGTCCAGCTGACTCCTCAGGCTTGTTTGACTGCTCACTTCTGGAAGCCCTGGGGTTTGTCCCTCTATGGGAGCTGATTCCCTCTCATGCCACTGGCAGACGGAAGGCTATGCCAAGCCTTCAATTGGAGAGAGACAGTTTCCATCTAGGAATGCCATATGGGACTGACAATAAGGGATTAGGTCCAGAGAACAGGAAAAAGGTCCAGGAGGTATTAGAACTGCTGGGTCATAAGGAGATCCCCAGATTCTACTTCAGGACATTCCTTCTGGTTTTTCGTCTTTCCCTGATTTGTGGGAATGTAATAGTGGCCCATAATGGAGAAGATGAAGCAGACGACAAACAGGAGGCCAGAAAAGAAGATGAATTCAATCCACTGAGAAAAGAGGACAGAAACTGATTAGAAAACATAGCTATAATGTGCATTGTGGTGAGGTTAATGGGAAGAGTGGTTAAGGAAAATGGGGAGAGCCCAGGAAACAAGCTAATTCCCATCTGGGTTCCATAGGAAACCAAGTAGAGGTTTAGGAAAAGAACCCCAACCTGGGGGTCACAGGGAAGATTCAATGAGAATGGTTCCCATGGCTGTACACAACAGTCTGCAATCTTCTTTTCTAAGTATATGGAAATGCCCATTTCATTTCATGTTTGTCAAGTTTGGGAATAAAAATAAGAAATTTTTAAGCAGAGAATGGTTCTCAAAGTGGTAACTGAAAAGGCTAGTACTACTAGCTCATTTCCCTGACAGAAAACACCTGTCTGAAAAGACTAGCTCTTCTCCATCAGCAGGCTTTCTGCCCTCCTGCTCTGGAGGTACTTCCTAGGGCACTTCTCAGAAGCCATGTCGGTTCTCTGCTCCAGTTTTTTCATGAGTAAAATTTTGTCCCTCCCTCTGACAGGGATGTTGGGAAGATGAAAGTTCTATGAAATCTCAGAAAAAGGCCCCCGTAATATTAGTTGCCTTCACTAGGTTCTAAATAAGAGAAAATGAGATTAAAAATCCATTTGGAGGCACCTAATTTAGAGATAGGGCAGCTAGGTGGTGCAGTGGATGGAGTGCTACGCCTGGAGTCAGGAAGATTCATCTTTATGACTTCAGAACAGGCACTTCCTCACTCTGTGACCTTGGGCAGGTCATTTAACCCTGTTTACTTCAGTTTCCTCATCTGTAAAATGAGCTGGAGAAAGAAATGGCAAATCACCTCAGTACCTTTGCCAAACAAACCCAAATGGGATCATCAAGAGTCAGACATGACTGAAATAACTGAATAACAATTTAAATATAATAAACTGCCTGATCATGAGAGTTGCTTATCTTTGATAGGGAAGAGGTAAGGAGGAAAAGCTGTGGAAATAACTTTAATAGAGGTTTTTAAGATCAGGGGAGTCTTATCTCTGTGCTTAGAGATGGGAAATCCATGCTACAGCCATGGGATTAGAGAAGTTGGACCCTTGGGTTCTTGAATTCTGTCTTTCTATTCTGTCACAAAGCCATCTAAAGCTATCACACCAATATTCTTATTTTCTGCCCTTAAGGAGCAGATAGCTTACCTAGATTCATGTAGTGATGGACAGAAAAAGAGATATGAGAATCCTAGAGTTTAGCCCCAAACTCTAACTACATTTCTACACTTCTATTTCATGGCTATCATAACTTCACAGAATAGCTACAGTTGTGGAGAACACTTTAAAATCCCTATCTTCCCTCCACATGAAACAAGAATGTGAGATGATGCCCATGACCCTTTAACATACCCTTCAACATAACAATCTCCTTCTTCAACTTTGTTCCTAAATAAAATTATGTATGTAAATATATATGCATGCATGCATGTATATATCTACACATACATTTATGTATATAAATACATATATGTGTGTTTACATGATAGATATATATGTACATATACACATACATATATGCATGCAGATATATATGTACATATGAGAATTTGACAACCCTTTATTTTATATTCAGGTTTGGAGAATAGCTAGACAGAAGGTAGGACCTCTACCTAGACACACATAAGAACGTAGCATAATGGGAAATAACACAGTGTAAGTGGAAAGAGTATGGGATTTGAAGTCAGAAGACCTGAATTAAAATCTTAGTTCTGTCACTCCTGAATTGTTTGACCTTGGAGGAATCACTTGGATAAGGTACCACTCTGTGCCCAAGTTTTGTCATCTATAAAATGAGGATAGTTGTACTACCTACGTTGCAAGGTTATTACAAGAAAATCATGAAGTCTATTCTTATCATGCAACCAGTGAAGTACAGAACAGGGAGCTTACCTCCAGAGCGTGAACCTTCAGCCCTTTGTCCATGCTACATATGACTCTTCTGTTTCTACAACTGCTCACAGAGGGAAGGGCAAACTGATCTCCATCTCATGAGAAAGGCTCCCGCCTCACATTTGCCAAGCCATTTCCCCCTCCAGCCACTGTGAGTGACAGCAATGTATGGGTGAAGCAATCCTCAGGTTTCAATCTGCTGTCACCACCCTATTGCCCACGCCACAATCTTCTCTAGGCAAATTCACCTGACTAGGATGAACCCATGGAAAACCACATCACTCGGTAGAGACTTCTGCATATAATCATATGTAGCAGAACGTAGAATCTACTGAGGCTTAATCATTAGAGAACAATACTATAATTTTAACCACAGGACCCATGACCCAGAACTTGGAACTTTACCTGTATCAGAAATACAGACTTTGCCACAATGATCACAATAAAGTTTCCTATGGAGACTGTCAGCAGCCGAGCTGCCTGTAGCACTGACTTCATACTGGAAGGAGCCTGAAAAGAACACAGGGAAACTAGGTAAACAAGGAAGCTGCAGGGCTCATGGGGCCTCTGTATCAAACAGCCTGGATAAATGTCTGCCTTGATTTGGTTTTGGTCTCATATTTGGTGAAAGCCAGACTCTATAAGCTGCATTAAGATATCTCTGCATGGCTGAGCTGGCTTTCTGTGCAGGGTCACAGATAAGAGAGGGGGCGTTTGGTTGGGGAAGTTTCAAGTCTCCAAATCATCAACTCTGAATTCCCATTTTGTTCCACTCAATTCCCAAGGGTCAGCTGCTAGAAATGCTTACCTCAGTATAAGTGAATTCAAAGCTAGTGACAGAGACCATGACCTCCCCAGCTGTGATAAGCACATACTGTGGCATCTGCCATAAGATAGACACCTTGTTGGCTGGAATATTCTTGGTTTTCCAGGCCCAGGGGCCTTTTCCAGACTTCTACAAAAAAGTAGAAAGAAGACACATCAATTAACTATCCCAATAACACACATCTATCTAACATCAATGGATAGCAGTTTGCAACAATTTTGTAGGGGAGGTAGTTTTTAATTCATCAGGTATCTTCTTCTCCGGGGTCATAGTGATGATGAACCAGGTAGAGAAAGCACTTAGTCATACTGTGTAGGCAAAACAATAATTTGGCAGGGATAGAGGAAAATTAATGACCAGATCTATTCCAACTTTCTATTTCTAGTCTTGTAAAGTGATGCTCCCAGGTAATGTGTCAGAGCTGGGATTCAAATTCAAATGTATCTAGAATCCAAATCCATCGCTCTTCCCACTATCCCCTGGTGTCTCTCCAAGTGTATTGATTGAATGCCACATGTTGAAGGTACAGTGATACCATGTTGCTAGGTTGCTATTCCTGTTACTCTGGTCGTGGTGAGGTGGTTGTTCAGTCATTTTCAGTCATGTCCTATTCTTTGTGACCCCATTTGGGGTTTTCTTAGTAAAGATACTGGAGTAGTTTGCTATTTCCTTCTCCAGCTCATTTTACAGATGAGGAATTGAAGCAAAAAGGGTTAAATGACTTGCCCAGGGTCACACAGCTATTAAGTGTCTGAGGTCAGATTTGAACTCAGGAAGAAGAGTCTTCTTTACTTCAGGGCCAACACTCTATCCACTGTGCCCCTAGCTGCCCCATGGTGCCTCGTCATGGTGAGGAGCTGAGATTTATTTTAAGATGCACCCCACCCAAACCTTTTTTTTCTTAGATTTTCTAATGGAATTTAAAACTGGAAGGGATCTCAGAGATCATCTTGTCCAATACTTCTCCAGATGAGGACACTGATGTCCAGAGATCAGAGAAATAATTTGTCCTAGGTCTCACAGGTAGAAAGCAGCAGAGACAATATTTAAAGCCAGGTCTTCTGACTCCTTCCACTATACAATGTTGCCTTACTGAGTCACAGTGAAACACAAGAGGCAATTCACCCCACCTCCCATGCCCTAGATGAAAGGGAAAAAAATCACAAGCACACCATGGGGACCAAGATGATTGTCTATTATCTTTTTGGGGTGGGAGTGGGAAAGCTGTGTGGAGATGTCTAGCTACGTATCCCACATTCAGCCTTAGCTGCCTGGCATCCATTTATTGACCATGACTCAAGGACCAATGATAATGTCTTCAACATCCAGTGCCCTCATTACTGGGGAAATGGCCCCTCACCTTAACAATGAAGACTGTGTATGCTGCACCAAAGTCAAGCAGGCCCAGGTCTAGGAAGAATTCCTCATCATCTGTCCTGCATGGCACAGAATGGTATCTAAGGGGTGGAGGGAAAGGAGAACATAGGATTACACAAATCATACTCTACTCTCCAGAGAGAACAGTATCTTCATGGTTATCAAAATGGTGGTAAAAAGAGCTGGCAACTGCCTGGAAAACTGGAAGTGGCCCATATAGTGAAGCCTGTGAAGCATTATATAAATATCCTCCTCCTCATATATCTTTGAGGTTAAGTTACTTACTCTCCCCTTTCCAAAGTCCTGTAAGAAGAGACACTATAGTTTTCACCAACAGTGACAATGTTGTCTTTGCCCAGGGAGATATTCACTTCCTTGTCCAAAGTGTTAAAAAATCTGTAAATGGGGAGAGGAACAGTGAGTTATGGCATCAGACAGACTCTCACTGAGTCTCACAACTCTCACAAGTTGAACTTGTGACCCTCTAAGGAACCAGCCTGATTTGCTAAGTGATGCCAGAGTAATCTCACTTATATTTTTTAAAGGAAAGAAACAAGTACATATTTAATACCTACTATGTGCCAGGCACTGTGCTAAGCAATTTACAAGTATTACCTCCTTTAATCTTCATAACAACCCTGGGAGGCAGGTGCTATTGGTATCCCCATTTTATCGTCATGGAAACTGAGGCAGAGATCAAGTCATTTGTCCAGCGTCACACAGCTAGTAAATCTCTCAGGCTGGATTTGAACCGAGCTCTTCCTGACTACAAGTCTAGCTTCCTATCCATTGTCCTATCCTAGCTACCTGGTATATAGCAAATACAGTGGTTAGCAGATTTGAGATCCAAAGAAATCAATAGGTTGGAAATACAGCATAGGCTAAATCTAACAAGATAAAATTTAAATAAGAGCACAAATGTAACAGAACTCTGTACTTAGGTTTTAAAAAAAAAATCAGCTGCACAAGCTCAGGATGAAATGTAATGACTTCATGTGGAGAAAAAGGACTTAGAGGTTTAGTAGACTATGAGCTCAATAAGAATGAACAGTGTGAGGTGTTTGCAGAAAAAGCTAATGCAGTATTAGGTTGCTTTAGCCACAAGTATAATGAACAGAATAAGGAAAGTGATATCACCCTATGCTTCATGCTGATCAGACCTCTTCCTCCATAGTGTTCAGATCTATACACTTACGTTTTAGAAGGAACAATAACAAGCCAGAGTGTGTCAAGAGGAACACAACCAACATGGTGAGGAAATGTGAAACCATGTCACTGAGTACTGGTCATGAGAATTGGTGATACTTAGCATGGGAATGAGAAAATTTCTTCAAACAGTTGAACAACTGTAACACGGACAAGCTGGAGGGCTCTGTCCTCTGCTCCCTCAGAGGATACCAGTGACTCCCTTATCACCAAATCCAAAGGCCTTTTCTCAGTCCCTCATTCCCCTTGATCTCTTTGATACTTTTCACTGTATTGATCAGTGCCTCCTTCCTGGATATACTCTTTTTCCTTGGCTCCAATATATTGCATTATCCTGATTCTTCTCTTCTCTAATCTATTTCTCTGACTTCTTTGCTGGTTCCTCTTCTTAACTGACCCTCTAAAGTTTCTATTTGCCATGTTCTGTCCTAGGCCCTCTTCTCTTGTCTCTACACTGTCTCTTGTTAATCTCATTCATTCATACAATTACAATTATCACCCCTATGTATCTAACCTTCTCCTTTCCTAAACTTCCTATCTGTATCTTAGACTAAATTTAAGACATATTTACCTTGATGTCTCACTGATGCCTCCCAACCAATTTTCCTGCTTCTAACATTTCATCAATTTCACACTATTGCTAGATTAAACTTCCTCAGGCATGGATTTGACCATGTCCTTTCTCTGCTCAAATCCTTTCAATGGCTTCCTATTTCTATTCAAGGTCCTCCATAGACCGCCTACATTCTATCTTTCCTGTCTTGTAACTACTACTCTCTTTGACACATACTATGGGACTGCACTACACATAATTTCTCTCCTATACCATCCTTCCATGAAGATTTCCACAACCCTCAATCCCACTCCAACCTCATTGAACCTTACATAGCACCTTCTTCGCGCCTTTTTTAGTTACTAATCATAAATTATTTTTGAATTATTTTTATTGGTGCATTATCATAGTCCCTTAATAGATTGTGAGCTCCATGAAGACATGGACTATATTTTATTTTAGATAGATTTATGTATGCACTCACACACACAAACATACATATACATATATACGTAAATTATATCCATATATAAAATCTAACCAGCCTAGCATAGTGTTTTGCACATAGTTGTATGTATGAAGACATGTGTAGAGCATGCATACATACATATCACGTACATTATACATGTAACATGCATATATACACTGTGCTAGAACAGCATTCTGTGCATATTGGTTGTGCATGTATATGGATATATGTGTGTAACATTATATATATATATATACACGCTCATGTAACACACATATACATGTGGCATGTGAAAGATGAAATGACTGAGGAAAGAAAAGTTCAAGCTTCTGAGCATCTCAATTTATTAAGCAATGAATGACAACTGCATAACAAATCGGGACCAGACTTCCTCAGCTTAGGGCTGAAGCCCGAAAACAGGGAGAGACAGATTTTTATGCATTAAAAACAATCAAACAAGACCAATTAATTAAAAGAAGACAATTAACCAGGATACAAAATTAGGTAATCTGATTTCTAATTGGAAGAGAGATTAGAGACTTTCCAGGTTGGGAGAGGGAGAGTGAACAAGTGCAATTCCCTGCATATATTCATCTGTGTATGTGTATATACACACATATACATATATATATACACATACACACAAATACACATATATATATATGTAACAGAACACTGCTAGGCAGATCAGATTTTGTGTGTATATACATATATACACACATACATAAACACACATATACAGACATACATACGTACATACATGCATATATACACACTTATCAAATCTGACCTACATAGCACAGAGTCTCATGCATAGTCATTCAATAACAACATTGGGGTCACAGTTGACGCACCACTCTGATTGACTTCAGAGATCCAAACTAGGATTGTAGGATCTTAGATTTAGATCTTCAAGATCACAACGCCATCTAGTCTAACATCCTCATCTTGTAGAAGAGAAAAATGAGGCCTTGAGAGGTAAAATGACTTTTGCTCATTGTCACACAGGTAGAGACCAAGTCAGAATTTGGGATGACTCCAGGGCCATTTCTGCTGCACCACGCTAATTCTCCCAGGGCAATGAGTGGAACTTAGAGAAGGAAGATTTCAGCTTGACATAAGAAAAAAATTCTAAATAGGCCTTTCTAAAGGAATAAGGAATTAGTAAATTTCCCTTTGCTAGAAGCATTTAAACAAAGACTGGATTATCACTTGGCAGATATGTTATAGAAAAGATTCAAGCCTTCGGTATATGTTGGACTTGATGACCTCTGGAGTCTTTTTTAACTCTTGGACTCTATGATGCTGACTAAGGCCCTTAACGTACCTCTCCAGGATACTTATCAGTTGCCCTCCCTTTTCAATGAGAAATAGACAAAGTGAGGAAGGGGGGATTTAGGTAGCAGGGCACAGGGGCTTTCAGGATGGGGAGGCTAATCACTCCAGGATTGGGCTCTGTCATGACCTCTCTAGGACATTTCATAGAGAAAGGTGGTGTTGGACTCAAGGTTAAGAAAGCTTAGGTTCAAATTCCACTGCAAACACTTCCTATGGATAGGTCACTTAACAACCCTTCAGAGTCTTGGTTTCCTTATCTATAAAGGAAGGGTACAGCTAAGTTGCTCAGTGGATAGAGTGCTGGACCTAGAGTCAGGAAGATGAGTTCAAATCCGGCCTCAGACACTTACTAGCTGTGTGACCCTAGACAAGTCACTTGACCCTGTTTGCCTCAGTTTCTTGATCTATAAAATGGGTTGGAGAAAGAAATGGCAAACTATTCCAGTATCATTTGCCAAATGGGGTCACAAAGAATCAGACGTGAATGAAACAACTGAACAAAGACCCAAAAGTAAAGATAATAATACTTGCACTATATACATCACAATTTTTTTTTCTTTTTTTGGTTAGGCAATGGGGGTAAGTGACTTGCCCAGAGTCACACAGCTAGTAAGTGTCAAGTGTTTGGTCTGAGGCCGGATTTGAACTCATATCCTCCTGACTTCAGGACTGGTGTTCTATCCACTGAGCCACCTAGCAGTTTTTATAAGTGAAGTATTTTAGGGACATAGTGTGGTATAGTAGAAACCAGCACTGGATTAGGCCTCAGAAGATCTGCAATCGGATCTCTGTTCTGTGGGATCTTGGGTAAGCCATTTGAACTTTTGGGGCCTCAGCTTCCTCACCTTCAAAACATGGTGGCTGAACCGTACAACCTCTAAGGTCCCTTCCAACTCTGCCGCCCACCTGCCTTTTAGTTCTGTCCCTCCGGTCCTTTCATTTCCCTGGGACATGCCTGCTGATTCTCCTGCTGCTTCAGAGGCAGCCGCCCCTGCTTGGCACAGAACCCTCCACCTACTCCCCTACAGATGAGACTCGGATCATGCTTCTGGAAGCCAGAATTCCATCATCCATACCTCACAGCTGCCATTCCATTGATTGGTTTGGTTCCCATGTCTTTCATCTATAACAAATAAAACAAAATAAGTTTATTTAGGTGGGTATAATCTTCAAACTACAGTGGGGTGAGGAATTTTTTTTTTAAAAAATGGTTTAGCAAATCTAACCAAACTATAGAAGAAAGCTTGACTGACATGCAGTAGTCCGTACCTGTATGTAGAAAAAGAATGTCTTGCAAAGAAATCTGGGGAGAGAGTGCCTTATAATAAAACTATTATATTAGAATCCATAATAAGAGTTTAGGCAGGCAAGTCTGCACTCACAAGCCTGAAGCACTCCTTTAACTAAAAAGTAAAAGCCCTTTCTTGTAACAAATAAGGCTAGTCAAGGAAAAAACAAACAAAAAATCCCTGCACATTATCCTCATCTGAAAATGTACGTGTTATTCTGCACTTATAGTTCATCACCTCTCTAACAAGTGATGGGAAACGTGATTCATCATTAATCTTCTGAAGTTCTGATTGGTCATTGATCAGTATTCTTAATTCTTTCAAAGTTGTTTTTCTTTACAATGTTGTAGTAGTCAGTGTAAAATTGTTCTCCTTGTGCTATTCACTTTATTCTGCGTCAGTTCATGCAAGTCTTTTCAAGTTTCATGTCCCTTTCCCAATATCCTATGGCACAATAATATTCCGTTATATTCATATGTCTTAAGTTGTTCAAGCATCCCCCAACTGATTGGCACCTACTTCGTTTTCGGTTCTTTGCCACAACAAAAAATGCTACCACCAACATTTTTGCACATATTGGTCCATGCCCTCTTTCTTTAATCTCTTTGAGGCATAAACCCTATACTGGTATTGCTGAGAGAAAGGGTATATAGAGTTTAGTGACTTTTTGGTTATAGTTTCAAATTGCTTTCCAGAATGGTCCAAATCACACTCCATCAATAGTACATCAAAGAGGTTGTTTCCGAAAGCCCTTCAGTAATTGCCATTTTCCTTCTTTGTCATTTTTGCCAATTTGATGGATGTGAGGTGGAACTTCATGGTTGTTTTAATTTGGATTTATCTTATTATTAGTTATTTAGAGTATTTTTTGTATTGTGTTAACAGTTTATCTTTCTTTTGGGAACCATTTATTCATTTCCTTTGGCCATTATCTATTGGGATTCTTATTTATTTATAACAATTCACATATATGTGTATTATATATGTGTATTTATATTTGTTTCATGTATAAATACATGCATATGTATAGAATTAAACCTTTATCAGATAAATTTGTTACAAAGATTTTTTCTCAATTAACTATTTCCCTTCTAATTTTAACTAGATTGATTTTGTGTAAATAATTTTTAATTTTATGTAATCGAAATTGTCCTTTTATCTCCTGTGATATTCTCTATCCTTTGTTTTGCCAAAGAGTTTATCTTAACCACAGTTGTGAAAGGTATCAACTTCCCTGCTTCTTGAATTTGTTTATGATATGACCTTTTATATCTAAGTCAGGTATTCATTTAGGACTTATTGTGATAAATGGCATATTATGTTGGTCTAAACCTAATTTTGACCAGTCTACTTTACAGGTTTTTCAGTAGCTTTTGTTAAATATTAAATTCTTACCCCAATAGTCATTGTCTTTCAGTTTATTGAAGACTATGCTGCTACATTTGATTGCTTCTGGGTACTTATCTGTTCCATTGATCAACAGTTCTATTTTTTAAACCAGTATCAAATACTTTTTATGATTAATGCTTTGTGGTATACTTTGGTGCTGCTTTGACTCCCCTTTCCTTCCCATTTAAAAAAAATATTCCCGTTGAGACTCTTGACTGTGTGTACCTCAAGCTGAATTGATTATTTTTCTCGTTCTATAAAGAAAACTTTTGATAGTTTGATTGGTATAGCACTGAACAAGTTAATTGATTTAGGTAATACTGTCATTTCTATTTTATTGGTTCTATCAAACCATGAGCAATCAATATCTCTTTAATTATTTATGTCCATTTTTATTTCTGCAAAGATTTCAGTTATAGTCATATAATTCTTTTCCATGTCTTGGTAGTTGGACTTCTGGATATTTTATACATTCTATAGTTATTCTGAGTGGAATTTATCTTTCTTTTTCTGCTAGGTTTTGTTGGTTATTAATTGTTTCAGTTGATGTATAGTCAACTCTCTAGGGTTCTCTAAGCAAATCATCATACTATCTGCAAAAAAGTGATAATTTTGTTTGTGCTTTGTGCTTATTTTTCAAATTATTTTCTTGTTTTATTGCCATAGCTAGTATATCTAGAATTATATCATATCAAATAATAGTGATGAAGTGAACACAGTTGCTTTACTTCAAATTTTTTTTTTTTTTTTGGTGAGGCAATTGGGTTTAAATGACTTGCCCAGAGTCATACAGCTAGTGAATGTTATGTGTCTAAGGCCAGATTTGAACTCAGGTCTTCCTAACTCCAGGGTCAGTGCTGTATCCACTGTGCCATCTCACTGCCCCTACTTCTGATCTGATTAGACTTTTTGTATTTCTCCATTATGGATAATGCTAGCTCTCAAGTTTTAGGCATATACCATTTCAAGGAATGAATCACTTGTTCCCATACTTTTAAATTTTTTTTAATATAAAAAGGTATATTTTTCAAAAGCTTTTTCTGCATCTATTGATATAATCATGCAATTTTTTTATTACTATTAATACTTTCCATTATGTTTATAATTTTCCTAATACTGAACTAATCCTGCATTCCTATATAAATATAAGCTGGTCATAGTGTATAATCTTTTTGATATTTTTCAATATTTTTGCATCCATATTCATTAGGGAAATTAGTCTGATTTTCTTTCTTTGTCTTCTCTCTCCCTGATGTAGAAAACAAGACCATATTTGTCTCATGGAAGGAGTTTCAAGAGTTCACTAAAAAAAAATTATATAATACTAGATTTAGCTATTCTTTAAATGTTTGATAGAATTCACATGTATCCATCTGACCTTGGAATTATTTTTCTTTTTTATCATCTTTATGACTTCTTCATTGTTTTTATTTTTGTTTGGTTTTGGTTTTTTACATTGGGTCATTTCTTGTTCTTCTAATCTGGGTAATTTATATTTTTGTATGTATTTATTCATCTTAACACTTTTGGTGGCATGTAATTGGGCAAAGTAGTTTCTAGTAATTTCCATTTATTTCTCATTCATTTGTTCTTAATTCTCCTTTTTCTATTTCTGATTAGAAATTTGGTTTTATCTCTTTTAAAGAAAAAAACAGATTTACTAGTGGTTATCTATTTTATTAGTTTTTTAAAAGCAGCTCTTAGTTTACAATTCAAACTCTTAGTCTAAAAACTGCTATAGTTGCATCCCAACACTTTTCTAGGTTACTCTTGACTTCTGGGTTTGCATTTTAAAAGTTCTACCTAGCTTTGGTCTTTTAAACAGAAATGCTTAAAAGTCTTCCAGTCTATAAAGGTCCATTTCCCCCCATAGAAGTATATTCAGTTTTTCATGGTAAGTTATTCTATGTTGTAAATTTTTATGTGTTATATTTAAAAAGTTTCTTTAAATAAGTTATATTTAAAGATTTTTCTTTTCTTAAAGATTTTTCTTTACCATAGTTACAATAGTCTTGTATGATCCTGACTGTAGTTTCTTGGTTCTTGAATTCTTCCCTTTAGCCTGCTTATTGTTTTGTTTTGTTTTTTAATTTAGAAGCATTAGATTTGGGCTATAGCATTCCTGAGAACTTTTATTTTAGAGTTTCTTTCTGGAGGTGATTGGTGTATTCATTCTATTTTCACTTTGTTTTGGGCAGTTTTCACTTATGATTTCTTAATAAAGAGTAGACTTTTTATTTGGTTATGGTTTTCAGGGAATTGGGTTAACTTTCTGAATTACCAGATAACTGTTCAATCCTTTGATTTACTCTGTGTTGTGAAGACTTGACCAATGCAAACTTGTCAGTGTAAAGGATATACACTATAGCTCATTGATTGATTCCATAAACAATGAATTAATGAATGCATGAATAAAACTTCCCAGGCCCTGAGAAGCCAGCCTTCCTAGAGACACAATGCCTATCAGCTGCCCCTGCCAAAGGATTAATACACTAGATACCTCATATCTCTAGGACTTCAGTATGCCCGTGAAGGACAGCGTACTGAATGTCTCAGCCCTCACCAGGGTGCTGGAGACTCTGTTTCCATCTCCATGAATGACCAGGCTGTATCGGCTCTTCTCCTCCACCACATGCTCATTTCTGACAGATGAGCTCCTGGACTGTAGCTGAAACTGGAAATGCTGGCTCTCAGTGTTCAGAAGGAGTTTGAAATATTTTGGTGATTGCTGTAGAGAAAGTAACCATAAACTCACTAGGTTTTCTATATTTATTCCCTTCCGGGTTTCATGTAAGTATAAAAGGATGAAGAGAGAGGGTGCAGCAATATGTAGAGCCGGGTGCATAGATCTGCCTAAACAGCAAAGGCAGTTTCTAATCTACTTTCCATAAATTCAGTCCTATCTATCTCGAGACCTGCCCTTTCTCCACCTCAGGGCACCCCAGACCTATATTGCCAGAACACCTTAAGGGACCCAGCCACAGCTGCTATAAAATAGGTCTGCTCTCCCCTTTCCCATCCTGGGGTGCCACAGAGCCCTCTTTTAACCTTCCTGCAAATTCTTCTTTCCCCTTTTGGCCTTTTCATCAGACACTCCCCCTTAACCTCCATCCGTTCCCTTATCAATGGAAACCCAGAATCTCCCTCTCTCTCTCTTTCCCATTGTTGGTGGGGCACTCCTAGCTCTTCAGGGTAGATATCCTAATGCATCCTTAGAACTCTTGGGGGCTTGCTATCAATCCTATCACTGAAACCCTAAGACCTTCTGCTCTGCATCTGGGCCCTCCTATATGTGTTGTCATACTCAATTAGAGTATAAGCTCCTTGAGGGCAGGAATCACCTTTTTCTCTTACTTCCAAATGCTAAGTAAAGTACTTAGCACATAGCAAGTGCTTAATAAATGCTTTTTTCATTCACTCCTTAAAAGTTAAACATAGAGAAAGCTAGGTTAGACAACTGGTCAGAAGGAAATAACAGGGGATCCTTTGTTGGCACTGGGTATAGTTATTACTGACTGGCAACTCTTTTCCATACAGAGTTCTAGGTCACAGTTCCAGGGTGAAGAGGAACACTGGTGGTCAGTCACAGGGAACAGGGAATTGGTTACAATACCAAAGCTAAAAGGAGTCTAACACGTGAAGCTGCAGGGGAACAGGTCCCTTCCTGGATAAATACTGGAGCACTGACCAGGAGAGCAGTGATCATGCCTCTCCTAGGATAATACCACCTTGGAAGTACCAAAAAAATTGCAGACCCCAGACTCACTCTGAAAAAAGCAGTATGAAAAAGTTAGGCACAATACCTCCCCAAGCCCAGTAAGCAGAGCCCAACTTTGATATAAAGTTCAAATCAAGAAATAGACTGGAAAAATGAGCAATCAATAAAAAAAAAAATTGACCATAAAAAGCTACTGCAGCGACAGGGAAAACCCAGACACAAACTCCGAAGACAATGTAAAAACAGCTTTAAAAAGCCTCAAAGAAAAATGCTAATTGGACCCAACCAAAATGAGAATTCCTGGAAGAGTTGGAGAAAGAGATGAGTGGTAGAGGAACAATTGGGAAAAGAAATGAGAGTGGTGTAAGAAAATTGTGAAAAGAGAATTAACAGTTTGGTAAAAAGAGACACAAAAAATTAAAAACATTAAAAATAAAAAACAAAATTGACCAAATGGTAAAAGAGATACAAAAATCCACTGAAGAGAACACTTTGAAAAGCAGAATTGACCAAATAGAGAAAGAGGTACAAAATCTCACTGAAGAATATAATTCATTAAAAATTATAATTTATCAAGTAAAAGCTAATGAGTCCATGAGACATCAAGAAACAATAAAACAAAGTCAAAGGAATGAATAGATAAAAGAAAATGTGACATATCTCATCAGAAAAACTACTAACTCAGAAAACAGATTGAGGAGAGATAGTTTAAGAATTATTGGACCACTTGAAAGCAATAATAAAAAAAAAAAGAGCCAAGACATCATGTTTCAAGCAATTATCAAGGAAAATTGCCTTGATCTTAGATCCACATGGTAAAATAGAAATTGAAAGAATCTTCTATACAACCAAGAAGAACCTACCCAGCACAACCAAGTAAACCCTTCAAGGGAAAAATGTAATTTCAAACATTCCTGATGAAAGAACCAGAGCTGCATGGAAAATGTAACATTCAAACAGAAAACTCAAGAGAAGCATAAAAAGGTAAACATGAAAGAGAAATCATAAGGGATTCAATAAAGTTAAACGGTTTACATTCTTACATGGGAAGATGATACTTAAAACTCCTAAGAATTTTAAAATTATTAGGGAAGTTAGAAGGAATATACATAGAGAGCACAGGTGTGAGTTGACTATGATGGGATGATGCCAAAAAAAATTATATTAAATTAAGGGGGTGAGAAAAAGGGATACATTGGGAGAAAGGGGAAAGGAGAGGTAGAATGGGGTAAATTATCTCAAATAAAAGAAGTGAGAAACAGGTTTTATAGTGGAGGGGAAGATGTTTGGGGTGGGAATTGTGGGCAACTTTAGGACCTTACTCTCATTGGAATAACATACATATTCAGCTGGGTATAGAAATATATCTTGACTACAGGAAAGTAGGAGGGGGGCAATATAAGGAGGAAACTGATAGAAGGGATGGTGAATTAGGGGAGGTAGTGGTTAGAAGCAAAACACTTTTGAGGAGGGACAGGGTGAAAGGAGAGAGAGAAAAGGATAAACAGGAAAAATAGGGTGGTGGGAAATACAAGTTAATAATCATAACTGTGAGTGTGAATGGGATGAACTCACCCATAAAATGGAAGCAGATAGCAGAGTAGATTACAAACCAGAATCCTACAGTCTGTTTACAAGACACATACTTCAAGCAGAAACACACACACAGCGTAAAGGGAAGGGGCTAGATCTATTGTGCTTTGTTCAGCTAAAATAAAAAAGCAGGGGGTAGCAATCATGATCTCAGACAAAGCAAAAGCAAAATTAGATCTAATTAAAAGAGATAAGCAGGGAAACTACATTTTGCTAAAAGCTACCAGAGACAATGAACTAATATCAATACTAAACATATAAATACCAAATGGTATAGCATCCAAATTCTTAAAGGAAAAGTAAAATGAGTTACAGGAGAAAAAAAGACAGTAAAACTATACTAATGGGGCACCTCAACTTTTCCCTCCTCAAACTAGATAAATTTAACTATAAAATAAACAAGAAAGAAGTTAAGAAGATAAATAGAATGTCAGAAAAGTTAGTTACGTTAGACCTCTGGAGAAAACTGAATGGGAATAGAAAGTAATATACCTTTTTCTCAGCAGTACATGGCATCTACACAAAATTTGACTGTGTATTAGGCCATTAAAAACCTCACAATCAAATGAAGGAAAGCAGAAATATTAAATGCATCCTTTTCATATCACAATGCAATAAAAATTACATTCAATAAGGGAATGTGGAAACATAGATTAAAAGTTAATTGGAAACTAAATAATCTAATCCTAAAGAAGAGTGGGTCAAAAAACAAATCACAAAAGCAATAAATAATTTCTTTAAAGAGAATGACAAACCAAAATTTATGGAATACAGATCAAAGCATGCTTTTTAAACTTTCTTTATTTTTCTTGGGTTTTTTTGGGGGGGGTTCTGTTTTCTTTTGTAACATGGCTAATACAGAAATATGTTTTGCATCACTGCACATGTATTATCTACAGTAAATTGCTGTCAATGAGGGGGTAGGAAAGAGAGGGAGAAAACTTGGAACTCAAAAATTTAAAAAAGCAATGTTAAAATATTGTTTTTACATGTAATTTGAAAAAAAAATATAAAAATTTCCAAAAAAAAAAAACCTTACTCTGATAAATCACTGCAGCTTACAATTATAAACACTCAGATGGAATAGAAAACAAACAAACCAGGAACTCAAAAGTATCACAATCCCTACCATGATATTATCTGGTGGTAAACCATCCTGGTGCCTGTTGTACAAAGAAGGGAATACATCTTTCCTTTCTTCTGCTCCTCACAGCTAATATGTTTTCAATAATCAAGACACTACTCCTTTACAGAGTTATGCCATTCGAGTAGGTGCAGAAATGTCTGATATCACTTTCTCAGTCACAGTGCCCTATTAGAATAGTTACTGCTTCCTTTAGTTCATCAATGTTGTGAGTCCTTACAAAGGGGATCCAAAGTATTAATGCCAAATGTCTTCTGATTCTGATGTTCTCATTCTGCCTTCAGAGTTGACCTGGCAAAGCCACACCAGTACATCTACATTTTGGACCTTATATGTGGCATTAGCTATTTATTAGCATAAACTCACTTTAGTTCAATTCCATAATTCTCTGTAAAGACTAAATTTTGTACTAAAAATGAGAGAGTTGGAGTAGATGATCTCCTACTCTAATATCCTGTGGTTATGTTTCACACTTCTAACCCTAGATAAATAACTTTGTCTAATTAATGACAGTTTTGTAATTTAAAAAAGGTATACTCATAATTCTCATTACCTGCTCTATCATTCAAAGGTGTCTAGAACAGGGGTTTTTACCTTAAGGTCAATGGATCCTCAAGAAATCCCTGTATAGATTTCAGAGGATCCATGAATTTAGATGGGAAAAAACTACATTTTAATTTCAATATAATTAGTTTCTATTGTAACCCTATGTCTTTTATTTAATGCATTTAAAAACATTATTCTGAGAAGAGGTCCATAAGCTTCACCAGGTTGTCAAAAGGGTCCATGACCAAAAAAATTAAGAACCCATACTGTAGAGACCAGCAAATTAAGATATTAGGATGTTTGGTTGAAGTGTGATAATGGTGATGGGGAAGATACAATGCAACTTACTACAAAATCAACCCAACCCATCCCATCCCATCTCATTTTTCCCTTCCCCTCCCCTTACCTGAAAGGCCCTCATGGGTTTTGCTAACAAGGTATCACCCTGATTGCTCTGCATTACCATCTTCACATCTGATTTGGCCAGATTTACGATCTGTAGGAAGCTCTCTCTGTCAGCTGGCTTGGCTGGAGCCATTTTCTAAGGATAGGAGATTTTTGTCAGAGAATACACTTATGGTACTCTTTAGACAGCTCAAAACTCAGCCCTGACCCCATCAGTCTGTTCATCCAAGGAACACTAATCCCATGGTAAACAACCTTTGAATAATTCTTCAGTCATCTCTTTCCTTTAACCCTCCTTCCCCCATCCTCCAACATTCCACCATCCAATTTAACACCAAGTAATAGTCATTCTTTCTCCACTAGATTTCTTAGATTCATTTCTTCCTTTTCCACTTCGTCTCCTTGCCCACACCTCCCTAAGGAGTTTGCCTTGTTCTGAACCTCTATTGGGCCCATAGAGTCTCCCAGTCTTGTAATGTCATCTTTTAAAGCAAGGGAGCAATTCTACTAACATGGGTCCATGTTTGCATACAAAGGAAGATGGAGGGGATAAGAAGGGCCAGTCAGGTTGCATAGGAGGCATCTAAATTTTTTGTTGAATTTGACTTTTGTTGAACTTGACCCTCAGCTGAGGAGTTCTTATGATCTGAAGGACTCTAATAACTTCTTTCAGTGGTGTCCCATTTCTGCCCTTCGCCTAAAGCCTAGAAAATGTATCTCCCATGGGAAACCCAATAGGATAAACACTAAAACCCTTACTAGCAAGCACACTGGCTGTAATGTGCCAAAGGGAAGGTTTATTTGAAAAAGAACAGCTATCATTATGTGCACAGGAAAATTCTAGTCATTCAAAGTACTATAGCATCACACCACAAGGACTGCCTATTACTATTTATAGTCCAAAGGTTTAGTTCATGAAAAAGTCCCCAGTGGCAGGCAGGCCTGGGGAGAAATTATGAAGGAGTTAGTCTTGGGTGGCTAGGTAGCACAGTGGATAGAGTGCTGAGCTTGGAGTCAGGAAGACTCATCTTCATGAGTTCAAATTTGGCCTCAGATACTTACTAGCTGTGTGACCCTGGGCAAGTCACTTAACCCTATTTGCCTCAATGTGCTTATCTATAAAATGAGCTGAAGAAGGAAATGGCAAACCACTCCAGTATCTTTGCCCAAAAAAAAAAAAAACCCAAATGGGGTCACAAAGAGTTGGACAGGACTGAACAACATTGCCTCAGCCACTCAGAAATCCTTTACTCTTTCCTTCTGTCACTCAGGTCACTTCCTTACTACCTTGACCTTAGGAAATGAGTAATTTGAGATTCTCTGTTTAAAAAAAAATCAAGAAAGCATGTGAATTGTATTCACCCTCAAGTATAAATTATTTGTACTAGCTTAAAAGTGTCAAGGAGCAAGATCAAAGCCCAGTCTTAAAGAGGTAGTGATGTCACTTCAATCATCAGTCTGTAGTCAGGAGAGATCATTTGGAACAGGAAGCCCTTTTGGGGTCATCTAGGTGGTACAGTGGATAGAGCACTGGCCCTGAAGTCAGGGGGACCTGAGTTCAAATCCAGCCTCAGATACATAACACACACTAGCTGTGTGACCCTGGGCAAATCACTTAACCCCATTGCCTAGCAAAACAAAACAAAACAAAAAAAACCAGGAAGCCCTTTTGCATGCTGCTGAAACCACAGAACCTTCCTCTGGAGGCTCATTAGGTACTCCTTAGCACTTTCCTTCCCCATAATGTCATTTTAACGTGTACAGTATCAACTCTGCTGCCAGAAGCCCTGTCTTTGGGTCTTGGAGTATCTAGATTAAGGTTTCCCAGGAAACACTGCTTTGCACCTGTTGCCTCCATTTCCCAGCTCTCCTCATAGGATTCCACTTAGGAAATCAGCCTGTGACCTAGCCAGGGATTAGTTCTTTTAATCCATGCTAAATTCTCTCAGCAAATTCTCCTTTTAGGAAAGACTGCTCTGACAATGGGGTTCTATAGCCAGGGCTCTGCCTCTTCAGGTTATCACCAGATTTTAGCTTCATTACCTCTAAATATAGCATTTACACCCTGGAAGCCTTTGTGCTGTTAGCCAAAGTGGTATATCATACTTTTTTCCTAACTTCTGGTCTAGAGTTCTCTGATCAACTGATTGTCACAAACTCTTTTCTCAGGGTTAGTTATCAAGCCTTCATGCCTCAACCTAACCTTTCAACAACCTTGCTATAGGACTGGGCATCCATTCTCCAAGGCACTATGCCTGAACTGTTTATTGGCTGGAAAACTCATATCATTGGTTCCCAATGTTATTCTCATTTGGCAACAGGTAGCCATAATGACATTACCTTTATCATGGACATGTGCCAAGTAGAGCAAACCACTTCTACAGCTCTACCATCACCTCTACTTCTAGGTGAAGTTAATTTCCAAGTATATTCCTTATAATGGGTATCATATTTCATGACTTGTCAATGGATGGAGGAGGGAGTGAGAGGAGGGAGATAATTTGGAACTGAAAATAAAAATAAAAAAAATTCCAAGAACATTCCTCAATTGTTATGCCCTACTCTCAGTTCCCTAATTATATGATGATAAGATTTCCTGTGCAGCCTGGTTCTCATATTTTAATGGCCCCTATCTTCATGGCTTGTTAATTTTCTTCTTAAAAAAAGAAAATCAAATATGATCTTAGTTTCCTCTATAAACATAGACTCCTCAGTTTTTGCAGAGCATTTAGAAACCTAAATAGAGATATAATCAAGAGCATAAGCATAGGATGGATGAGGCATGGTTTTGAGTGAAAAAGATATGGTCGTTTCAGTAGACAGTCTGAATTTAGATAACAAAAATAATGGCAAAAGAAGTTCCCAAGAAGAAGATTTTGGTTCAATGTAATAATAAAAATAAAACTCTTAAAAATTAGAGCCATCCAAAAATGGTATGGTAATAATGGCTTCCCCATCCTTAGGGGTCCTCAAGCTGATCCCTGGTTGAGTACTTCTCAAGGATGCTGTAGAAATGAATGCCATTCATGTAGGGACATGACCAGATGACCTCTTAGGTCTTTTCCAATGTCAAGATTCTATGAGAGTTTTACCTATAAATCCTCAAATAATAAGGTTCATTTGTGTCTTCTTGGACTATAGGAACCCTTGACTTGGAGTCTAGATCCTACAGGACCATAAATGACTGACCAGAAGACTGAAAACTGAGTAGGGTGAATCAGTAGTCCTTTTGTTTGAACATAAATAGAAATAGCCAAAAACAAAATCATTTATTTTGCCTTTTGATGGAATTGTGATGACAATCCAGAATTAACTGCTTTGACATTGCTTGCAATTTACTTCTCTTTAAATTCCTTCCAGTTCTGAAGATCTATGATTCTGTGTGATTTCAGTTTTCTTTGGGCAAACAGTAACTGCTTCCCCCATGGGTAAGAGAGTGTTATGTACCAAGATGCTCTGTCTGTTCACTCTGTTCTGAGATCCTACAATTTAATTTATAAAATATCACTTTAAAGCCAGACCCACACATATCTGAGTGAAAGACTAACTCATTTATATAAAGCCTCATGAAATTGCTTTGTTTTGTTTCATTCTGGATCCAAGGTCGACTGTGACACTCCAAAGTTTCCATTAATAGGACACGTGATTTTCAAATGCTCTGCCCTGCAACTGTAAAATCAAGGGATTGCACTAGATGATTCTGAGGTCCTTTACAACTCTAAATCTTTTGCTTAAAATGACTTTCTTCCAAATACTGGTTTTCCAATGCCTATTTTTTCCTGCTTTCTAAAACTACCAGGTTGTTGAAACATTTTTTGTGTCACTTTTCCAAACATTTATCCAGGCAAAAGAATCCTTGGCATTTGCCTCTTGATTCTTCAACAAAACTAGAAGGCCTGAAACCTATTATAATGTCTATTTAGTCTCCCTGGGGCTAAATATATTTTATAAGTGCATTTTGAATGATTGACATAGAGATTAGCTAACAACCATTTATTGACCAAAAGTCAAGGGGAAAGGGGCATCCCATGCCACTAAGACTTTTAAAAGTTAGTGTAACCCACAAGATTGATAACATTAAGTTCTGACTCCAGAACCTGGAATATGTATTGCGGGTGGGAGTACAGAGAGGTAAACTGGTGTTAGAATCAGAAAGAATAAAGTTCAACTCCCACCTTTAATATAACCTGGCTATGTGCCCCTTGGTAAGTTATTTTATTTCTTGGTGCACTATGTAAAGCTCTAAGACCATGAAGTACATAGAAGGTTCTGGTCTTATTTGGTAGAGTTTCCTCGCTGTGAGTTCCTTATACCAATGAAAATAAAAATTCTCATCTCCTCTCCTTCCCCTCCACCTCAGTTAAAAAAAGTGTGGCAGTATAGGCTGGAAGGTACAGTTTCTTGGTTTTTCTTCTTTGCATCTACTGGGTATTTCAATTCAACAAACACCTTTGACGAAGAGGTAGTCCTTGTCCTTCTCTTTGCCAAGTTAATCCCACCACTTGTGTTCTTGATCTAATCTTCTTCTATCTCCTTCAGGAGCTTGTCACCTCAACAATTTCATCTCATCTTCAAATTTTCCTTATCCATTGGCTTCTTTCTTACACCTACAGAAGTGTTCAGATATCCTCCATCTTTAAAAACCTTCACTTGATCCTGTCATTCCCTAAATCTATGGTCCTATATCTTTTCTCCCTTTCAGAGCCAAACTCCTAGAAAGGGTTAGATATACTTGTTACCACTACTTCTCACTTCTCACTCACTTTGTAACTCCTTTTAGTCTGGCTTCCAACCCCACTACTCAATTTAAACTGATTTCTCCAAGGTCGTCAATGATTTTCACTGCTAAAATCAATAACCTTTTCTCATTCCTCATTCTACTTAAACTCTCTGTAGGTTTTGACACTGTTTATGATGCTATCTTCTTTGGACACATTCTTCCCTTGGCTTCCATGACATTTAACAACCGTGTGACTCTAAGCAAGTCACTTAACCTCTGTTGGCCTCAGTTCCCTCAAATAGCATCTACCTGCCGAGGTGGTTGTGAGGATCAAATGAGATCATATTTGCAAAGCACTTAGCACAGTGCATGGCACATAATAGATGCTACATAAATGCTTTTCTCCTTCCCTTCTC